AAAAACTGACATGATAGTCCATTTAGACTATTGACATACAAAAATTGGCTCTCATCCCTACAAAAATAGAGACCGAATATGCTCCTCACACCTGGCGTCTCACTGGCGCCTCACACGCACATCCTACCATGCATTGGGAACATCTCCTGTACTTATTAATTATTATTCACGGGAGATGTTCCCAATGCACTATGGATGTTAATGTGAGGCGCCTATTTGTGACGAGCAAATCTCGTCTCACAAAGATATAGTCGCATCCCTTGCTTGGCCCACCTTTTAGATTTGTTTGGATCGCATCAACCATGTGAAGTTATATGAATAGTGATCAAACGTTTAACTACAGTTAATAAATACATCTTACGTAATGCAATTACAGGTGTCTAATCGCTTCACTTCAGAATTCAAATGACACCCTCTACGCTCTACTAATTGTGCTACTTTCTAAGCATTTACTTCTGGATACAAGTCCAAATTGTCAATAGTTCTACCTGTAAATATACGCCATTTAAATTCTGTATCATCACGTGATATGATCGCACCTATATCGGCTTACACTCATCTCTACAATGATCTAAATGATGTGTTGTACGATGATTGGCCAATACAATTCCACTCCTCTTCAATTACATAATGAAACAATAACAATGAAAATGGAACTTGGAAGCAAGTAACCTAATTTTTATTTATTGACTATTGATCTGTGAAGTGAAACAATTGCAACTCTAATAATTCTAATAAGACATTGATTTATAGTTCTTTTTTTCCACATCTACACTCTACAGCAAAACCAATTAAACCATTGAAAATTTTATTGCCAAAGTTGGACATTTGTGTAAATGTTAGTGTTAGAGGCTTAGCCCCTGAATTGTAATAGGACAAGATACGTAACACCTAGGGGGTGTTCTTTTTTCAAATTTTGAGAGGGGAAAGTTGGTCAATGGGATTTTGGTTCTCATTGACCAAGAATCTCATGTTCTTTTTTCAGATTTATGTGGGGACCAAGGAAAGTTTATTTTCTTGGGTACCACTTATTCAGGTAAGTGATACCCATCTCCTAGGTGGGTAAATAATTTTTCCACCTAAAGGGAAAGTTGCCAACACTTGAATGGGACAAAAATGCCCATTTTAATAATATATTTTTATAGTTAAAATGGGCATTGCCTTATTTGCATGAAAAATAAAAGAACATGGGTAAATGTACTTACCTGGGTAAGTGTTTCCCAGGAAAAACTTACCCAAGTAACTGCATTTACTCGGGTAAGTAACTTAACGGAAAGCGAACATAGCCCTAATAAGTTGTAATCATAGGAAAAACCATGATTATTTTATGTCCAGGCTGTTCATTTTCATGTGAAAATGTTATGTAAATGTGTGAACTACAATAATGCCACTTTCCATTCATAAATAAGCTTTTTAGTCATTTTCTTTTTCGATTTTTGAAAATACTTATTCAGATAAATAACTTATTGATCTTGAAAATTTTCCACTTTAGTACCTTGAATTTTGGGGTAGTGTCAAGTTAGTACCCAAACTTTTAAATGTATCACTGCAATATCTAAACTTTCAAAAAGTGTCAAATTGGTCCCTGTTGTTAACCAACCGTCAATTATCTGTTAAAAATGTCAAAACTACATTTCAAAAGAAGACACTGTTCATTGTCTTCTACCTTGAAACTGAACCGGTCGAGGTGATTGAGATTCTAGACTAATGAAGTCATTGTCTTCTACCTTTAGATCTGAAATGCATTCTTGTCTAGTTATTTCTTTATTTTTAGTTATTGTTTCTCTCTATCATATTTCATGTTTTTTCTCTTTCTTTTTTTTTGAAGAGAACCAATTCAGTCTCAAGGTAAAAGACAATGAATAATGTCTTCTTTTGAAGGATAGTTTTGACATTTTCAACAAATAGCTGACAATCGGTTAATGGCGTGGCAGAGACCAAATTGACACTTTTTGAAAGTTTAGGTACTATAGTGACACGTTTAAAGTTTGGGTACTAACCTGACACTACCCCGAAAGTTTAGAGTACTAAAGTGGAATTTTCCCAAATTTTTATCATTCTTTCATTTATTTTTGAAGGAAATAAGAGAGGAGCCATGGGGGACCTGGGAAGCAAACCCCACCCCTACCCCCCAACCCAAAAATCCCCATCTATGTATATTTTTTCCTTTCCCATTCGCCCAGCAGTCCATCCATGTTTATTTTCCTTCTCTTCCCCCCCTTGGAAGGACAAGATACTAAAATTTAATAAAACAAAAATTTAAACAGGAAAAAATAGATAAATGCACATGCGCGGATAAATAATTAACCTGAAAAATAACCGGGGCCATAAATTAATGTGACAGATAAGGCTCATGATGCTAGCGACTATTCATTGCAAAAATAGCAAGCTAGGGGAGAATTACTACTTTATGAGAAATCGTAAAAGGTCCATTATTCATAAAGAAAAGGAAAACCAGAAAAGCAGCCAACAACACTAGAGGCCAAGCCAATGTTCTTTCCACCTTCCACTCTCAAACCTGGCCCTCGTTAGTTTTGCCTTTGCCTGCTATAATCAATTGCCATCACGCAGGCCCATGGCTGATAGGCCATGATACTAGACCAATCATAATGTGCATGACGTGTGAGGCCCATCAATGGAGCTGCTAACGTGACAGGATTTGCTCCTCACAAATGGGTGCCTCATAGGCACATTCACGCAGGCCCATGGCTGATAGGCCATGATACTAGACCAATCATAATGCGCATGACGTGTGAGGCCCATCAATGGAGCTGCTGACGTGACAGGATTTGCTCCTCACAAATGGGTGCCTCACAGGCACATTCACCGTGTATTGGGAACATCTCCTGTGAATAATAACCATAAGTACGGGAGATATTCCCAATGTATGATAGGATGTGTGTGTGAGGCGCCTGTGAGGCGCCAGGTGTGAGGAGCAGATCCGGTTTCGCTGCTGACATGGTTTATCATGATTGATTGGCCCAACCGCCCAGTGTTATGAGTGGAGGGTTAACTTTGGCTGTTGGGGCCCAACAACATAGGTTGTTGAGAAATTTTTTTGGGCTGGGCAGTTCACCTATTCATGCCCATGCTTTGTTTTTAGTAAAAATAAATTAATATGTTATTAATAATTTACCCATTCTCATGGTAACGTGGCATTCCTAGAAATTCTCTCAACAACATAGGCTGTTGGCCCCCAACAACTAATGTTTTTCCATGAGGGGAACTGTAAACAACGGATTCCACTATGATATGGAAAAAATATGATATCCGCGACAATGATAAATAAACTTTTACCTTGTTAAAGACATAGCTTCAATTCTTTTTTAGATAACTCATTAGATTATTGAAGGGGTAACATTATTTTATCATGTGTTGATAATTTTATGCACTAAGTCACCATTTGCTTTTCTAGAAATTATTTACTTGGATAAGTGCACTCATTTGTAGAGGTGTAAATAGTATTCGAAAATCCGATTTCGAATTCTATATTCGACATAATCGAATTGAATTCGGATAATTCGAATATCTAATCGGTCGAATTCAGATATCCTAGTCATACCGAATAGTTAATTGGATTTGAATTCGGATATGACCTGATTCGATTCGATAAATACCCGAATTCAACCGATTGTTTAATTCTTAAATATAATATATAATAATTAAGTTATATAAATAATGTACATATTTATATACTTTATATCAATAAAATATTTATTTTATATATTTATTAATTATCTAAAATAATTAATTAATCAAATTCAAATTGAATTGAATATTCGAATATTTAATCGGATATTGCTTGATCCAATTTGAATTCGATCTGTTTACACCCCTACTCATTTGAGAAGTTATTTATCATATGTTTTTTTTTTTAATTTTTAAAGTAAATAAGATAATGACTATTTTAGCCATAAAAGTTATTATTGAAAGAGACAATTTTGTCCCATTCAATTATTTATAACTTTTCTCCAATGAAAAAATTATTTATTCACTTAAGAGATAAATATGATATCTAAAAAAATAATTTTTTATAAACCCCTATAAACATTAAAAAAGAAAATAAATTTATTGGTCAAGAAAAAACCAAAATTGCATTGACCAATTTTCCTCCTTCCAAAATTGGCCAACTTTCCTCCTTTAAAAAATTCAGAAAACTAACGGACCCTAATTGGAATATGATTTGTCCAAATAGCACAAATATATAAAGCCATGCGAGTCGAGGAGTAATGTGAAAACCAGATCAAATAAAGTCCGTGGGGGAGAGAGTGTAGATTGATAGGGCCTTGACAGCGTCTAGATCTCATGGATTTGTCACTCTCATGGTGGGTCCCGTGTTCATCCATCCATGTTGGAACCAGGGCCGACATGGGCGCCCTAAAATCGTCTTTTCACTTTTCAAAATTTTCGTTTCACATCTCTCTCCTCTCTGACCGTTCAGTCAGTCGCCGGTCGGCCCGTTCGTCATTTATACGTTATACTAACATTTCGCTTTCATACGCCGTAACAAAACATTTTCCGACATCCAGAAAACCAAAGGATTGCCATCGCTTCCATATGACCAAAATGCTGTTTAACAAATCGATCCTCATCAATTTGACGCTGGATTGGAGTCTACATAACAACTAAACCAATTTTATATGAAATTGAGGGCAATTACGTCAATTTCATCTTCAATCTCTTTGATCGGGTAATAAAACAGGCGTGTGGAAGGCGGGCCCATGACCCATGTTCGATCTTAAGGAGGAAAGGAAAAGGAAAGTAGTACGGTTTATGTAAACAAATAAATATTGAAAACGAAATAAAAAGTAATATGGATGGCCGTGGAACTGAAAAGGCAACACAGTCTTTGTAATTTTAGTTAAAATCTTTAGTTTTAAATAATTTCCAGGAATTAGTTAACAAAAAAAAAGTAATTTCGATGAATTGGGTGTCAAAAAAGTAATTTTATAAATTCAAACAATAACGGAAAATAAAAAAAAAAGCTATTCAAGATCCTCTGATTCCTCTTTTACTGTCAGATCCCCTGCCTGGTTGCCTCGCTCTCTCTTTCCTTCGACTGCTCCCCCACTCCCCCTCCCTCTCGTCTCGTCTGTACACGAGAAGCTTTCCTTTTGTTTTTTGTTCGATTAACTCCAGTTGAAGTTGAAGCATTCGTATGCTTTCTAACTGGCAGTCCTCCGTTTCTGCCCGCCTTATCAACCCATCCGTACGGCTGCTCCAAGGTATTTCTCCTTTGAATCTTCTTTCTTTTCAATGTGTTTGTTTCATGGCTTCTTTAATATCTCTGTACATTCTCAGTAAGCTTAAGAATCTCCCTGTCGTAGTTATTCATGGTTAGAGTTGATTTGTTTCTGACTTCTGAAAGTATCGTGGTTACTGCTCTTTTGTTTTTCTGCTCGTTTTTCTAGGGCTCTGATTTTACTATCTTCCGTGGTAGTATTCAACAGAGATTTTAATTGATGATCGTTAGCGGAAATAGCTTTTGTATTGCACTTTTGTTTTTTAACTCTATTTTCTTTAGCTAGTAAATCGAATTCAGACTGAACCAACCATACTTGTGAGTTGTGACAAAGTTAACGGCTTTTTTTCTCCATATATTGGAATTTGTTTCATTTTTTTTTTTGAAATTTTAGACTAATTCTTTTTATGTAACTTCATTAGCAGTTTGGGGTGCGGTCGCATTAATTCCAGAGCACTTCCTTATAATATATATATATCGTTGTTAGATTTTCCTTTCACATTATGTAGAGGATATGCTGTCACTATTTGTTGTAGCTGGTTCGGAAGTTCTGTTAATTTGAATAATTAGCATAGCTGGTCCAGATGTTCCGTTGATTTGGTTGGTTGGTTTGTTTTTTATGGTCGTAGGAAAAGCCAGAAGTTGTATTTGAATTACTATCAGCTCTGTGCCTCCAGCGCAGCACTGAGAGGAAAGCTTGTTAGTTTGGGGATAATTATACATAAACCTTTTCACAGTTTTTACATTTGTTTGTGCAACTTTTTTTTATTAGCATAAGATTGTGCACATTTATTGATTGATCTGTCATTGATAGACTGAACTTAGGCATTTCATTTAGTTGATTAAGCATGATTTGTCATCCTTAAGGCACATCAATTATCAAAGTGAAATTTTGAAGTATTTATGGGTTTTTTCCTTTTTGTTCCTAGAGGATTTAAGTTGATGCTTTGTGAGGCATAGTTTGATTACCTGGAACATGGATAAGACATCCTCGGACTGCCCATACCCAGGATGCTTCTTCTGTGTCATGAAGGAAGCAAATCCAAGTAAACGTCGAACAAGTATACTGAAGTTCTTCGGAGAACTTCCTTCTCAGGACGATGATGGTCAAGTTCTCCCAATAAGTGGCCTTTGGAATACTGCAATGGCACATCCCAATGACCCTGAGTTTGTTGAGTTAGGAATATTTGAATGCATGGCTGCACTTATCTGGAAGGGTTTAAAGAATCGGCGCTGGCTCTCTCATGACCAGAATATATATATTCCATATTATGCTGCACATATTATTGGATCTTACACCATGAATATGGAGGAATTTGCAGAAAGTGCTGTCCATGCTGGAGTAATTCCTCCCATAGTTGAGCTCTTAAGAGGAAGGTTGACATGGGTGGAACAGCGAGTTGCAGTGCGAGCTTTAGGACACCTGGCTACATATCCCAGTACTTTCCCTGCTGTGGCAAGTCACGGGGAAGTTCTTGAGCTTTCCATTCAGCTGGCAATGGGTTCCCTGGAAATTGTTTACTCTCACTTTTACCAGTATGTTGACAGAAGGCTTAGTTATCACTGTGATTTACTTACACGTGGTATGGGTGGTGTAGAAATGGAGTCCAGGAAGGCAGAGGAATGGGCCAGTCAATTACAGTGTTGGTCTCTTCAGCTTATAAATTGCTTTGCTTTCAAATCTGAGTTTCTCTCTATTATATGCAAACCTGAATTCTTAATCAAGTTACCAGGAATGTGGGGTGGACTTGTCAATGAAAATTCACCAGCTGGTATTGGTTTGTTGCGGACAATTTGTCATCATAAGCTTGGTAGGGGGCCTGTTGCTAGCTGTCCTGGAGTTATTGAAGCACTATGCAATATTGCTCGTTCCTCTGACGATTGGCAGTATATGGCTATTGATTGTCTTCTTTGGCTAATTCAAGATCCAAATACTTGTTACAAGGTGTGATTCCTTTATCCGAGTTTTCTACATATTTATTCTATGACTCCTTGTTACCTAAACATGCTTGCTGTACTAATATCAGATAAAATGGGTACACTATACAACATTATTAGAAACTGCATGTAAAATTTCTCAAACATCTTATATGTTATAACCTCAGAAAAAAAGTAGAATGAAACAACTAGTTGTGCCCCATTTTCTTGAGGACAGTATTGCTCAATGAGATAATTATTAATAAAATTTACTTTGCCTTCAAAAAATAAGATTTTCTCATCCCACTTAATAGTATTATATTTGATTGTCCTCCTAAATTTTGTATAACGGATTTTTCCTTTTAATAAACACCCAAGAAATTTTGTTTATTATTTACTTTAATAAAATCATTATTGGTTATTCTAAAAAACTTTGTACCATTTTCAATCAAATGAGTAGCACATATAAATTCTGTTATTTATAATGATAATGTGTTTTTGACACTATCTCTGCAAATTTATTAGTAACCCAATAAATTTTGTTTATAATGTTAAGAGCACAATTTTTCGAATTTTTTAAAGTAGTGTATAATTTTGATTTTAGTAAATACGTTTTAAAGAAAGTTGGTCATGAGGTTGCTTGTGTGTAGGCTAAATGAGTATTTTATAGCAATGAGAAAGTAAAATATGTAGTAACAGAATATTTTAACAAACCATACTACAGGAAAAAGTTAGAAGTTGAATTATATTTGGAAAGATATAAGTATTGAAAAATGGTACTCTTACTTAGAAAGCTAGACCTAGAATGATGGTATAAGCATATTAAATGGAATTATTGTTCTCATATTAGTTTTTTGGATCTTTTGGAAATGGAAAACTTTCTCCATATTTCATATATCACCATGTTCGTGTCTATATCTGTGGCTCGGCATCTTATTCTCTACTGTCTTCAACCTGTTGTATATGGTACATAGTTGTACAGACACATGATTTTTGAACAATAACTTGAATTTACCATTGCTCCATTTCAGAATGTTGAGGATTTAATCAGTTTTGTGTAGATTTAACAATAATTTTTTATGTGTTTTAAGATGCTTGCTGCCCTATAAGGGCATATTAGTCATTGTACTCCACTTTATATTTTTAATATAAATACTAGTGAAGGGGGTGGCTAGAATTAAGCTCTCTTTTTCTTTCTCAAATCTCTTCCTCTTCTTCTTCTTCTCTCTCTTCTCTTCTTCAAGAAAATATCTTTTCTTTTACAGATTTTTTAATTCAGTAGATTTCTACTTGATATCAGAGCAAGTCTAGGGTTTCTTGGAGTTCTCCCATGCAACCCTAGATCAGTCGATTGCATGAGGAGATAAAAGGGTTGATCGATCTACTTCAAACTGCCCAGTTCTTGGGTTTTTTTGGTGGATTTCAGTCATCAAGAAGGTGATCTAGGTTTTGGCATCAAAATCAAGAAGAACTGGAGTATAGGGAAGAATCCTAGGTAAGTTGGACTCTTCACTCTTGGTTTGATCTTGGGCGCTTGGACCTTGTTGGACTTGTCTATGTTTTTTAGAGTGGGCGGTTAGGTTTCTAGACAATTTTAAGCCTTCTAGAGTGACCATTGATTCACTTTTCTCTCCAGGAGGAGATGGTGGGAGAAAGGGTTTTTCTCTCCGGATAAGGTTTTCTCCTTCTGGAAAAGTCACCGGCCCTTGTGAGTGAGATTGATTTGATCTCAGAAGTTTTCTACTTAGTGTTTTGCTGGTTTACATGGTCTCAGGTGTTGGAGGTACGAGTGATATGTTTGGGTCTGGAATTATCACCACAGTTAAATTAGATGGAACAAATTATTTAGAATGGGCACAACCATCCAAGATGGCCATTGGTGCCCGTGGAAAACTAGGGTACATCATTGGGGAGGGAAAGAAACCTGATATAGATTCTTCCCAGTGGGTATAGGAGAATTACATGGTGATGTCCTGGTTGTGTAATTCTATGTTACCCCACATTGGCAAAAATTTTCTATGGGCTAATACTGGAAAGGAGATTTGGGATGGAGTGACTGAAACCTATTCTCAGAAGCAGAATGTAGCCAGAGCCTATTAGTTAAGGAATCAGGTGATTAGTATAAAACAGGGAGATAAACCTCTTGCCATGTATTTCTCTATGTTGAAAACCCTTTGGCATGAGATAGATCACTTAGAAACTATGGTTTGGGAAAGTGTAAATGATGCAGCAACTTAATTAGAAGTTGGTAGAGAAGAATAGGTTTTTTGAGTTCTTGGCTCGGCTAAACCCTGAATTTGAGATTTCTAGGCAACATATCATTTCTAGAGAGAGTGTGACACTTTCTCAAGCCTATGCCTTTGTTTCTGGAGAGGAGAGCAGGAGGAATGTCATGTTGAGATAGCCTGGGATTGATCAGTCTGCTATGGTTAGTACAACCAGACCTAAGACAAATGGAGACAGGGTGAGCAGTGAGACTAGGAGGGAGGACAAGAAGGACTTGGTGTGTGATTATTGTATGAAGACTAAGCGTACCAAAGACACTTGTTGGAAGCTCTATCGACACCTCATACCAGCTTGGGTCAAGAACAAGAAGGGAAATGCAAATGTGGCAATTATAGGAGACTCTTTGGGACCCCTTACCCAAGCTGATTGGAAGACCATTGCAGTAGCAGCAATTAGAACCAAATTGGAGAAATTTGGACAGTTGACGAGTAAGGACACAACTAGTTCTAGTTCTTCAGGTGGACAACAGAGTGCAAGAGCCAATTATACCACTTCTTTAGCTCATAGAGGTAGTTCATATGCAACTACAAATTACGCATCCACCTTAGGTAAGGAGGGACCTCCCTGGATTATCGACTCAGGAGCATTTGAGCATATGACTAATATACCTACCATTTTCAGTTCTTACCAGTTGTGCTCTAGTAGAGATAGAGTCTCTACAGCAAATGGTTCACATATTTCCATTGCTGGGAAAGGGACAGTTAAAGTGACCAATGATATTACTTTATCTTCTATCTTACATGTCCCTATACTTAATACTAACCTTCTTTCTATTAGTTCTTTGATAAAAAATTTGAATTGCTTAGTGACCTTCCTTCTTGGTAATTGTGTTTTGCAGGATCTGGAGGTAAAGAGGACGATTGGGAGTGGTTGTGAGGTGAATGGAGTCTACTTTTTGGACGAGATACCGAGACATCAGAGTCATCATGTTAGTAGCAACAGTAGTAGTGGATTAGAGTTAGTGAGTCAGATTATGCTGTGGCATAATTAGTTGGGTTATGTTTTTTTTTAAGTTCATTAAAGTTTTTGTTTCCAAAGTTTTTAAGTCTGTCCAGTTATCTACTTTGGAGTGTGAGAGTTGTCAATTGGGAAAGCATTGTAGACATTCTATTAAACCAAGTAATAAAAGAAGTGCTTTTGCTTTTGATGTTGTTCACACTGATGTATGGGGACCACATCATATTCCTTCTATGGGTGGATACCGTTATTTCCTCTTGGTTGTGGATGACTACACACGGTATTCTTGGACATATTTGATGAGATCTCATGATGAGGTACCTAATTTGGTATGATAGTTCCACCTGATGGTTCTCACACAATTTGGAGTGAGAACTAAGGTCTTTAGATCAGATAATGCCAGAGAATACTTTGAGAAGGATTTGGCTACATACTTTTTGGAGCATGGTGTAATTCATTAAAGTAGTTGTACATATATGCCGCAACATAATGGAGTAGCAGAGAGAAAAAATAGACACATCGTGGAGGTGGCAAGAAGTTTTATGGCGTGTGCTTCAGTTCCTATTCGTTTTTTTTGGGGGGGGGGGGAAGTTCTCACAGTTTTGCATTTGATTAACCGTGTCCCTTCATGTACTTTAGGGTTTAAGGTGCCATTTAGTCTTTTTTTTTTCTAGATGGGGAGATGTTTTATGTACCTTTGAGGATTTTTGGGTGTGTTTCCTTTGTTCACATTTTTGGACCCCATCGCAAGAAATTGGATCCTAAGGCCAAGAAATGTGTTTTCCTTGGGTATGCTTAAAACCAAAGGGGGTATTGTTGTTATGATCCTATGTCGGGGAGCGGATTTGTCACTATGGATGTTACCTTTTTTGAGTCTATATTCTTTTTCTCTGGTAGTTCTCCTCAAGGGGAGAGTCTTGGGGAGGAGAACTCACATTCAGTTTCTCTTCCTGTTTCTTTTGTGCCACCAATTTTACCATCAACACCTATTTTACAATCAACACCTTCGTCAGTTTCGTTACCTGATCCACTGCGGGTAGCCACACAACACTATCAACGTCACTAGAAGAGGGTAGACTCCACACATGCTCAACCAGTAGAACCTGCACCACTCTCCATCAGTCCTTCTGAGGGTCCAGATTGGGTAGACACAGTTCCAGGTATTCCCCTTGAGCTTGAGCCTGTTATTTTTTTTATGATAATGTTCCTGTACATAACACTATTGTTGCAACCAATTCCATTGACCTTGATCTTTCCATTGCACTTCGCAAAGGGAAGAGAAAGTGTACTGCCCATTGCATCTCACACCATCTTTCCTATAAAACCTTACATCCTCCTATCAACCTTTTCTTTCTTCCCTAGATTTTGTGTCTATACTCATGAATGTTACTGAGGCTCTCTCCAAACCCGAGTGGAAAACAACTATGCAAGAAGAGATGGAAGCCTTGGCTAAAAACCAGACTTGGGAGATAGTTGATCTTCCTCCAAACAAGGAGACTGTTGGATGTAGATGGGTGTTTACTATGAAGTATAGGGCTGATGGCAGTATAGAGAGGTACAAGGCAAGATTGATTGGAAAAAGGTATATATTGACCTATGGCATTCATTATCTGGAGACCTTTGCACCAGTTGCTAAGATGAGTTCAGTTTGAATCCTCTTGTCTCTAGCAGCTAGCTGGGTTTTATGAAAGTGTTGGTAAAGGAAAGGTTTGTAAGTTGAAAAAATCATTGTATGGCCTGAAACAGTCACCTAGGGCATGGTTTGACAGGTTCAGAGGGGCACTTATCCTCTTTAGGTATACAAAAACCAGTTTGATCACATTCTCTTTGTGAAAAGGAGAGATGCACTTGTGTCAATTTTGATTGTGTATGTGGGTGATATAATAGTTACAAGAAATGATCTGAAGGAGATTGATGTTCCCAAGAAATCATTACAACAAGAGTTTGAGATCAAAGATCTTGGTGAGCTAAAATACTTCCTAGGGATTGAGGTTGCAAGATCCAAGCATGGGATTTTCATCTCTCAGATAAGGTTTGTACTAGACCTACTGTGGGAGACTGGGTAGTTGGGATTTGTGAACCAAACCAGCTGACACTCCTATTGACCCAAATCATAGAATTAATGCTGTGGGTGGTGAGTTGGTTAAGGATGTGGGGAGATATTAGAGAATGGTGGGATGGCTATTTCCTATGTTGTCAGTGTTGTGAGTCAGTACATTAATGCACCTCGGGTTCAACACTAGGAAGCCATTGAAAGAATACTTGCATATCTGAAGAAGCACCCCGACAAAGGTATTCTTTTCTCAGACCATGGAAATATGAAACTGAAGTCTTATACATATGCAGATTGGGCAGGTTGTTTAGATGACAAGGGATCTACATCAGGGGTATGTACCTTTGTGGGTGGAAACTTGATTTCATGGAAAAGTAAAAAACAAGCAATTGTGGCTAGGTCAAGTGCAGAGGCTGAATATAGATCCATGGTTCATGGTGTCTTAGAACTACTTTGGGTTAGATTCCTACTGAATGAGATTGGGGTAAAAGCAAAGGAACCTATGATGTTATATTGTGACAATCAAGCTGCAATTAATATTGCCTACAATCCAATTCAGCATGATAGGGCAAAACACATTGAAGTTGATAGGCACTTCATAAAATAAAGGGTAACAATTGGAGAAGTTTGCTTACCTTATGTCTCTTTAGAATTGCAGTTGGCTGATGTCCTCACTAAAGGGGTTGCAAAAAACAAGCTTGAACATGATTTACGGAAGTTGGGAATGTGTGACATTTACTCCCAACTTTAGGGGGAGTGTTGAGGATTTAATCAGTTTTGTGTAGATTTAACAGTAATTTTTTATATGTTAATTGTTAGATAGGAAGTGGGGACCATATCATTTATGTTAAGTCCTTTGTTGATTGTTTCTTAAGTCTTTTATGTGTTTTTAGATGCTTTCCACCCTATAAGGGCATATTAGTCATTGTATTCCACTTTATATTTTTAATATAAATACTAGTGAAGGGGGTGGCCAGAATTAAGCTCTCTTTTTCCTCCTTAAATCTCTTCTTCTTCTTCTTCTTCAAGAAAATATCTTTTCTTTTACAGATTTTTAATTCAGCAGATTTCTACTTAGAAATAAAAGGAAAAAAGAATTGGGGGTTTTTTGATAATGGCTGAAGTTACTAAACAGAAAGATTTATTGAATTGTCTTTTAGTTGATAAAATAACAAAATAATAAAATTTTTAAGGGTATAGTGATCTACCTAACTTCGGCTTCAGCCGTTAAGGAGTCCAGTAGTCAACAACCTCCTTAAAAACTTATCCACTAAACGACAAAGCAATGAGCTTTCCATTTTAGCCACTTCAGTTGTTATCAAATGTCCCCTTAGCAATAATGGAATATGCTTTCTAAAATTATCTTAGTATGTGATATTTAGGAGATTATGGGTGAGGTCCATATCCAGTCTACTCCTGTTATGGGCACACCATCCGGCAGCGCACTGCGGAGCAGTCATAGACAGCAGCAGGCACGGCAGGCCGCACAGCAGCAGGCACCGCCTGGCAGCGCCGCACAGCAGCACGCACCGATAGCACGCAACGCGCATCGCCAGGCAGCAGCGCGCACCGCCGCACCGCACGGCAGCACGCACCATGCACACGCCCGGCACCGCACGGCAGCGGCACCATGGCGCACA